CGCAAAAACCCCAAAACAAAACAAACAAAAAACAACCCTGAGATCCTCCTACTTCAGCCTGCTGCATGCTGGGATTACAGGCATGCATTACCATACCTGGCCTCATAGTCTTAAAAAGGAGTGTCACATAAAACATGCATGAACTTTGAATACATCTTAAGTAAAATAAAACAATCACATTAAGACAAATACTATGTGATTTCACATGTCCAATCCAAACATTTTAGCTGGGTGCAGTGGCACATGCCTATAACCTCAAGATCAAGAGGCAGAAGCAAGAGAATTGCAAGGTCAAGATCAATCTTAGCTATATTGCAAGTTCAAAGCTAGCCTAAGCTTTAAGATTCTGTCTCAAAAAATGAAACAGTGGGGCCGGGGAGATGGCTCGGTAGAATAAGTGCTTGCCTGGCAAGCGCAAGGGCCTGAGTTCAATCCCCAGTTCCGCCCCCCCCCCCAAAAAAAAAGAAACAGTACCACAGCATTCAGCAGAGGCTGAGTGGGGAAAGAGTGGTTAAAAGATATAAGCTTCAAGTGAAACAAGCTCTGGAGACAAAACAGCCACAGTAACTAAAGCTGACACTGTCCTGCACACTAACATCTGCAGAGCAGGTGAGCACTCCCATCAGACAAAAAAGAAAGCATATATACTGTTTTTGCTAGCCATACTTTGGGGATAAAATTTAAAATACAGCTGGGGGGGCTGGTGAGATGGCTCAGTGGTCTAAAGCACCTACTTAGAACAAGCTTAGCAAATCACAGAGTCTGCGGTTCAATCCCCCAGCACCACATGCCAGCCCGCCCCGCCCCCTGGTGGGCTGAGCTGGCCACACACACACACACACACACACACACACAATTTTAAAAAAAGTAAAAAAAAATACAGCTGGATGCAGTGGCATACACACTGGGAAGGATCACTGTTAATTGGGGGCCAGCCTGAGCTACACGGTGAGTTCAAGACCAGCCTGAACTATGAGTGACCCCAAGGGAAAATTATCCCAAAACATGTAGACACATAAAACAGGAAGTATGTGGAATGAGGGATTCATTTTACAAAGTGAGTGTTCACAGCCACGATTGCAAACTATTTCCTTTATCAAGGAGAAAGGGGTATGCTGGGTGACAAGTAGGTGAGCGTGCCTTCTCTAGCAGGCACATTTGCTAAGCTTTTTGTCCCTGTTAAATCTCCTAAAAGACATAGTAGGGAAAATCATGTAATAAATTACCTGAGTAAACTAGCAAAATCCTGTTTCGTGCAGATATATACCCAAGGCAGCCACGTGCCATGAACCCTGGATTCTATGGCAGGAGATCAACACTGCAGCCCCAGCCTCTATGGCCCTCTGAGCTTCTCAGGGCTGTGGATTCACACCTTCACACAGGACCTCAGTGCTACACCACCAGAGAGAGCACTTGCTTTTCACATGGCAGACTAGCCTTTGATCGCTATCACCAGTTTCTCAAGGCAGAACGTGCTGCTTAATTTCTACTTTATAGTGCAAGGGTCATGTTGAGGTTCCAGCCGTCAGTGTAATGTGAAGATATATACCACCAAAATCGGGGGCAGGAGATCAAACTGGGTAAGTTATATTTAACTTAGCATGTACTAAAGCCTTGGGTTTGACTCCCTCAGCCCCTTACATAAGACAAACATATGTATAATGTTTATTCAGAATAATACCATGGAATAAGTGCTTGCCTGGCAAGCACAAGGTCCCGAGTTTGATCCCTGGAACCACCAAAAACAAACAAAAAACCATGAACTGTTTCCAGTACTATGGAAGTGGCAGGGTTGGGCATGGCAATCCAGCCTGTAATCCAAGACTTAAGGGCTGGGGAGACAGCTCAGAGGCCTAAGCATAAATTCAACTCCAGGTACCAAAAAAAAAAAAATCCAAAACTGAGAGGCTGAGGCAGGAGGATCATAAGTTCAAGGTCAGCCTGAACTACATACTGACACACAAACTTAAACAAGGTTCCCCTAAACACAGCAGGCTCTCAAAACCTAACACTGCTAACATTTCCTAGGTGAGCCTTGTGTACAGCCAATCAGAAGCAGGTATGGTCACAAAGAGCCTCAGCTAGTTGAGGAAGGAGAAAGGAATGCAGCTGGGCAGGGAGCAACAAGTCTCACCCCAACAAGCAGGTTTGATTGCAGAAAGTCATGTTTTATAGACAAACTGTTTACATCAAATCACTTTGTATTTTAGTTCTCTACATCCTTAAAAATATATGCGGCTGGGCTGGTGAGATGGCTCAGTGGTCTGGAGCACCTACTTGGAACAAGCTTAGTGGAGCACAGGGACCACGGTTCAATCCCCCAGCACATGCCAGCCAGCCCCGCCCCCTGGTGGGCTGAGCTGGCCACACACATACACCCACAAATAAATAAATTTTAAAAAAATATATGCGGCTAAGAGGGTGGGGAAGTGCCAGGGACCTGGCCTGTTCTGAACATCGTGCATTTGTAATGGGTACAGTTTCCATTTTATGAAACAGCACACATTAACCTAGGAAGTACAGTAGGATGTGAAAAGTGAATCCTATGAGGTGGGGCTTGGGATTTGAAAGCTCACCTGTATACCTGGAGCTCAATAGGGGTAAGGGGAAGGAACATTTAAGTGTTTTGCAGTGGGTGTCAGCTTGGTGTTAAAAAATACTTTCCCAGCATGTACAAATGCTGGGCTTGATCCCTGGCACCAACAGAAAATTTCCAGACATTTTAATTCAGACAAGATTAAGAGCTTGAAAATGACTCTGCAGGTCTTGGAATATTTTCAAGGTACCTTTGAATGTCTGAGGCTTCTTGGGAATCATATTACTTTGTGGGGTGTTGGCCAAGCCAAAGCACATCAATACAAGCATTTTTAAAGTAGTCTCCTAGACCTCTTCCCTAGTACCAAAAAAGGTAAACTGGGCCTCCCATGGCTCAACTGTAATTTACTTCCTGACATCCAGAAAGTCAAATTGGTTGCAGGCTGTTACACAGGCACATGAAGCTATCTGGGTCTTTACCAATCCCACTTACAGGATTTTTCTTGCAGGGTTGATTTTGGAATGCTACTGCAGGTGACACTGTCCATCCTGAGACAGGACTGGATGCCCCACCACCTACAAAGCACTTACAGGGTCCTCCTGTCAGTTCCCAAGACCTTAGCTTCTGCAAGCTTAGTGGATTCCTCTTTTAACATTTATTTTGTATGTGTGTGTCCAGCTCAGCCCACCAGGGGGCGGGACTGGCTGGCATGTGGTGCTGGGGGACTGAACCGCGGTCCCTGTGCTTTGCCAAGCTTGTTCCAAGTAGGTGCTTTAGACCACTGAGCCTTCTCCCCCTGGATTCCTTTTTTCAGACCAAGCGAAAATGCTCCAAGTCCACATGTCCATCATCCTGTCAGAAAATGTTCACCACCATTTAGGTGGAAGAAGGGTCCTTGGGGACTGTTAGCTAGGAGACCCGGGAAGCATGATCTAAGACCAGGACTCACAAGATGGGCGTGCAGGCCTCATGAATGATGTTAATTTGGCTGATAGCATTCTGAACTTGACAGGACTGTAGACCCAACAGATTTTTAAGTACCTAAAGGAAAGTTAACACCTGTGGCACCTTAATACAGATAGCTACTAGAACCATAGCAAAAGGAGAAGTGGGAAAACAAGAGCAGTTAAAACACGAAAGAAAATCAGACTACAAAGGGCCAGGCCATCTTAAAACCCAACACCAACTACTGTGACCAAATACTATGAGTTATTTGTGTGTGTGGCCAGCTCAGCCCACCAGGGGGTGGGGCTGGCTGGCATGTGGTGCTGGGGGATTGAACCGTGGTCCCTGTGCTTTGCAAAGCTTGTTCTAAATAGGTGCTTTAGACCACTGAGCCATCTCACCAGCCCCAAAATGCTATGAGTTCTGCCAGCTGTCCTTAAGTGTTGTTTGCCTAGCCTACTGTTCACCTAACCTTAGCAACAAATGCAGTGCCCAGAGGTCAAGACTTGTCAAAAGCCGAACAGCTGGGAAGTAGCAAAGCCTACATCTGAAGCCAGTCTTGAGGGCTTTTATGGACAGTCAGCCCAATGCAGTGAAGTCGAACCTGGAACTTATGCTGATTCACCTGCCTCAGTCTCTCATGTGCTGGAGCCTAAGCTCTTAGAACCCACTTTTCAAACCAGGTTTGTCAAATCTCCCACAAATTCAGTACCCAACTCTCCCAGCATCTCAGGGGAAGAAACTGGTGTTATTCATGACAGGGTAGCACGCATGTTCTGAGACTAGGTGCTTTCATCCCCAAAGCAATCATTTTTGGGGAGTAGGGGGTGAGACAAGGTCTCACTGTGTAGCTCAGGCTGGCCTAGAACTCAAGGCAATCCTCCTGCCTCAGCTTCTCAAGTACTGGGATTGCAGGTATATACTGTGTCCAGTTTTCTGAGAACAATCGCTATTAGGATGCTCATATAACAATCAGAACGTAGGGAAGTCAAACCCAAGGACACATTGATGGGACTTGAGAAACCACAATGGGAAACCTAATTCCAGCCACAAGATCACTTTACCTGAACACATTACACTTCAGGCCTCAACATACAAACCAATCCCAAACATGAGGATTCCACCCTATCTCGAAATCCCTGCCCACCTCCCCAGTAAGTAGTCTCCAAGTCCTCTTTCCTCTTGATCTACCTCGTTAAAAATTTATGAACTGTGGTAAAGAAAAAGCATTATCAGTATCAATTTGTGTTGAGGTTTCACCTTTTTAATCAGTTCTGAAGGACATTCCAAACACGAGACACGAAAGAATATTTTTTCTTCCAGTATATAAAAAAAAATGACATTCACAAACATTTTCAAGAAGCTCTTACACTCATGATGGTAGATATTTAATTAAAAAAACTCTAGGCAATCATATTCTTGATGCAGACTGCTTACAGGTACATTCAAAAATTTTTCTACTCATGATTAAGTGCATATATATTTTAAAAATAACCCCAAATACATGATTTAAAGAAAAACATGAGTCTGGCACAACTTTTTTTGTGTGCCAGAATCAATGATCCTGAGAGTCCAAACTAAAAACTTTTATAAGGAAAAACCCCCATAACTCTACAAATGTCTCAGAAATTTGACTTTAAATGGGGGAAATTAAAATAACACAGAGCTTTCTAAAAAGTCTTTAACAAGATACCTTGGGAACTCAATTAAAAAATAGTAAATATACTAATCAAGTTTCAGCACGGCTTCAAAAATCTTTATACGGCGATTTGGAAGGATGATCCTGGATGAGAAGTGTTATTCCTTGTGCATCTGAGAACGGTAAGAATGGGTACATTGTGATGTCAGAAAGAAATAGGCTGGTAACATTTTCACCTCCCAGAGTGGACAAAGATGCTATGGGCTGGCTAGTGCAAGTACCTCCTCATTTGTAAAGAGTAGGAGATCACAGAAGTTGGCTTTTCAGGACTCCCCCCCGCCCCGACATACACCTAAGAGCAAAAGCAGCGTGGGAATGGTTTGGTGGGTGGAGCTGGTGAGGTATGTTGAAGGTGGCAGAATGCTGCACAATCCAGCCAAAAAGGCGAGAGGAACACAACAGGGTCCAAAGGGCAGAAGCTTGCAATGCCAATATTCAAGTATCACTTACGTCATGTCTACAAGCCTCTCAGTTGTCATAATTGTCTCTGTAATTCCCTCCCGAGTATCGGTCATAGCCTCCCTGGCTTCTGGGAAAAAAACACAACTGTTTGGCAAGAATGCATTCTAGGGGCTGGAGAGATGGCTCAGTGGTCTAAAGCACCTAGTTAGAACAAGCTTAGCAAAGCACAGGGACCGTGGTTCAATCCCCCAGCACCACATGCCAGCCAGCCCCACCCCCTGGTGGGCTGAGCTGGCCACACACACACACACACATTAAAAAAAAAAGAATGCATTCTAAATTAGATCATATTGAAACTATACACGTATTTTACAGTCTGCACCATAATGTAAACTTTAAACTTGTAAAATGGGACATACGAAACAGGCAGGAAACAAATCAAGGCACATTTCATGTTAACACAAGAGAAAACCACCCAATATAGATCTTACTAGATGAACATGCATATAGTATTATTTATCATGTCAGTCTTTTTTGGTGGAACCGGGGATTGAACTCAGGCCCTTGTGCTTGCCAGGGAAGCACTTATTCCACTGAGCCATCTCCCTGGTCCCCATCATGTCAGTTTCTATAACCACACAATTATTGTAGTACAGTTCAAGGTAAAAGTTTCATGCTCAAGTTACCCACCTGCCACTATAGTCTCTGGATCGCCCATAACCATATCCATATCC